GCGTATCTATTTTCTTCCCCAGATTTGGAAGTTTTCAGCTACTATTTCTTCAAATAAATTATCTGTTCTCTTTTCTCTCTCCTTCTTCTTCTTCTGGGATCCCTGTTATTATATTTGATGGAGTCACTGAGTTCCATAAGTCTATTCTCATTTTGCATAATTCTTTTCCTCTCTTTTGTTCAGCTTGATTACTTTCCATAACTCTGTCATCCAGGTCATCATTAATTCATTCTGCTGCTTCCTCTAGCCTGCTATTTATTCCATTAAGTTAATTTTTAATTTCAATTATTGTGTTCTTTATTTCTGATTAGTCCTTTTTTATCTCTGTGTTAAGGATCTCACTGATGTCCTCCTCTCCAGTCCAGTGACCATCTTTATGATCATTACTTTAAATTTTCTACCAAGCATATTACTCATCTCTGTTTTGCTTGGGTATCTTGCTGTGATTTTGTTCTGTGCTTTCCTTTGGGACATATTCCTCTGTCTCTTCATTTTGCCTAACTGTCTGGGTCTGTTTCTGTGTGTTAGGAAAGTCAGCTGCTCTCTTGCTCTTGAAAGTAGTGGGCAGGGTGCACACTTTTAACAAGGCGGCTCTGGTTTTCTTCCATAGACGTGTGCAGCAGCCACTCTGGAGACCGGGCCAGCTGGGGCTAGTCTGCAAAGCACACACTGGCAGCGTGTACAGTTTTAACAAGGTGTGTGTCTCCTCCACAGGAGGCTGGGAGATGTGGTGTTGGCAATGTTTGCATCATTCTTCTTGGGGTGGCACCCACAGTGCGGGGACTGAGGTAGGCCCAGCTGGAGGGGGCGGGGTATGGTGTAAGCAAGTTAGGCAGTCAATCCCAGGTGCTGCACGGTTCCGGCAGGTGGCTGTGTGATTATGCCGGGGGCAGGGAGAGGAGGAGGGAAAGGGGACCTGCTAGCTCTTTTGTTCCTGGAGAAGTCCCTCAGGGAGCTCTGAGATTAGTAACTAACTCTCCCTCCCACATGCCCTAGGCATTTTTCAAACTTACTCCTAAACTGTATCTCTAGACTGTTGTGCTATCTTTTTAAGGACAGGGATTCAGCGTCTAAAGTTCCAGGCTTTAACATCTCCAATCCTGAGGTTGTGGGCTCCAGGAGACACGTTCTTGCACATAAACCTGTGTCGGTGCAGCCTGGAGAACAAGGTCTGGAGCTCAGACGCTGAGTCTGCATGCACTTGCTCTGCAATCTGTGTCAAGATTCCCCACTTTGTACAGTGGGGAGGAAGATGATACCCCTCTTCACAGAAGGGTAAGGACACGTGAATCTATTTCAAGAAGTTTTTTTTGTTTTAAGATTTTATTTATTTATTTATTTATTTGAGCGAGAGAGCTTGAGCAGGGGTGGGGTGGGAGAGAGGCAGAGGGAGAGGGAGAGAGAGAATCTTTTTTTTTTTTTTAAGATTTTACTTATTTATTTGAGAGAGAGAGCATAAGCAGGGGGTAGGGGCAGAAGGAGAGGAAGAAGCAGGCTCCCTGCTGAGCAGGACCCTGAGACCATGACCCAAGCTGAATGCAGATGCTTAACCGACTGAGCCATCTAGGCGCCCCTGAAGAAATGATTTTAAAAATATGTTCACAAAAAAATAAGTAAATAAAAAATAAAATCACATTCACTTTTTTCCTAGAACTTTCTTGTTTAATTAAAATTCTAATGTTAAAAATGAGACATGTTCATTATAGGAAGTTTGTAAAATATTGAAGGGTGTAATAAGGAAAATAAAATTTACCTCTAATGTCACGAAGTGTTAAATTTTGTATGGCAGAAAATTGAACTATATTGCTTTTTTTTTTTCTAAGATTTTATTTATTTGAGAGAGAGCGAGTGAGAGAGAGAGCATGAGCTGGGGGTGAGGGGCAGAGGGAGAAGCAGACTCCCCCTGCTGAGCAGGGAGCCTGATGCAGGGCTCCATTCCAGGACCCTGGGATCATGACCTGAGCTGAAGGCATACGCTTAACTGACTGAGCCACCCAGGCACCCCTGAACTATATTGCCTCTTGAGAGATCAAGTAACCTTTTATTCTTCCTCCATTTTCATGTTTCTGGTTGAACACAATGGGGTATTACTGAATGACTATAAAAATAATAATAGTTTTACCCTTTTTTAAGTAAGCTCCACACCCAGCATGGTTTTGAGATCAAGACCTGAGCTGAGATCAAGAGTTGGACACTTAAAACCAACTGAGCCACCCAGACACCCCCCCCCAAAATAAAAATAAAAATAAAGTTCCAGGCTTTAAGTCCCACTGGTTGTGAGAACTCACAAAATTCAGCACCTCTGATTTTTAAAGCCAAATGCTATGGGGATTCATCTTCCCCATGCAGACTCCTGGGTGTGGTAGTCTGTTTCTTAGTCTTCTCAGTGCCTAGTGGCTCCCTCCCCCCGCAGCCAGGCCTGCTGGGTTTATCTCCCCACTGTCTCTCTGCCCTTCCCACCCTCTTCAGTGTGGCCTCATTTCTACATTTACTTTTTTTATTAATTTTTTTTTTTTTTTTAGTAATCTCTACACCCAATGTGGGGCTCGCGCTCACAACCCCAAGATCAAGAGTCCCATGATCGGGGCACCTGGGTGGCTCAGTTGGTTAAGCGACTGCCTTCGGCTCGGGTCATGATCCTGGAGTCCTGGGATCGGGTCCCGCATCGGGCTCCCTGCTCAGCAGGGAGTCTGCCTCTCCCTCTGACCCTCTTCCCTCTTGTGCTCTCTATCTCTCATTCTCTCTCTCTCTCAAATAAATAAATAAAATCTTTAAAAAAAAAAAAAAGAGTCCCATGATCTACTGACTGAGCCAGCCAGGCGCCCCTTGTCTCTACATTAGTTGTGGAGTTTGTTCTGCCAGTCTTCGGGTAGTTTTCTGGGTTATTTGCCCTTATGTGAGTGTTATCTAGTTGTATCCATGGGACGAGGTGAGTTTAGGGACCTTCTTCCCACAGAAGTTTTTAGTTTTGATATAGGCCGCTTTTTTTCTTTTGTTGCCTGGGCTTTTGATGTCTTATCCTCCAGTAACCTTTTAAACAAATTTATATCCTTTCATTGTCTAGTTTATAAACATTTAATGGTTCCCTTTTTCAGACTTTTTAATGATCTGGTCTCTGTACTTCTTCAATCTCACCACTTACTAATATTGCTACCCAGTGGACCTCCTGGGTCATTCTGAATTACTACGGAGCTCTGAGCATCCTCTGAGCACCATGCTCTCTCACATGTCATGTCTTGGCACTTGCTAAGTCCCACTTGCTCTCCTTTCTTTCTTTTCACTAAACTACTTTTCATTCACCTTTTAAGACTTCTGCAAATAACTCCTCCTCTGAGAAGACTTCTTTGACTTTTCCCAGAGTTAGGTGGCTTCCTTGGCCTTGCATTTGTTTACTTTTACTGTCATACTTATCAAACTGTTTTAGGTGTTGGCTCACCTCCAGATAGGTTACAGGTTCTTTAAAGGCAGAGGCTCTACCCCTGTCTTGTCATCTGCTCTCAAATTTGGTTGAACAGTTGAACAGGGATCTCTGCCACTTTAGTTGCTTTGACCTTGAGCAAACTAAACCTTTTGGGCTTCAGTTTTCTCATAAGATTATTGTGATGACTATTTGAGATTATGTTTGTAAAGTGCCAGTAAATGCTCAACAAAAATTAGCTGTTATTTTCATCAGCTTATTGAATTATTTCAAACTCTAGTCTGTTGTATGACTTTGGACAAAATTCTTAAATGCCCAGACCCTCCTATTTTTTTCTCTGTAAAATGAGCTGTTTGACCTGGATTATCAATAGCAGTGGTTCTCAAACTAGGCTGCACATTTCAGTCATCTGGGGAGCTTTAAAAATAATGATGTCCAAAAGATTCTGATTTAATTGGTGTGAGGTACAGCCTGGCATGGGTATTTTTTAAAAGCTCCCCTGGTGATTCTAATGTTCAGCCAGAATAGAGAACCACTGATCTAAAGTTTCTTCCAGATATAACGCACTAGAAAGTCCAGCTGCCAGGATTCCTTGGAGGCAGAGAAATGGAATATCTCCCGGCATTCTCCGGCTATCACCTTTGTTAGTTTAGCAGGAAGCATTCTTGGACAGGCTTACTGAGCTGGAACTCCAAGAGTATTTGTGGACTCCTGAGTATTTAATACTTAGGGGTGTACTCCCTCCTGAAGAGACCTGGGAGACTAGGGCTCTGAGAAGGAGAGAACAAATCAGCTCTTCTCTACCACACTGCTCTAACCCAAGGCCTAGAGGAGTCTCCCCTGGAGTGTTGGGCTGTGGAGTCCTAGTCAGGCCAAAGGAGAGGGAGGAAGGGAGGATCCTTGGTATAAACTTAGTAGGGAATCTTGAGGCCCTGACCAGAAGGGGGTGGGGGCTGAGAATTAACAAATACCCATTCCTTTACAGTGCTTTAACAGCATATTTGTAGCCATTATATATTTGATTCCCAAGACAACCTTGAGGAACGCAGAGCAGGTATTACTGCCTCCATTTTGTAGAAGAGTAAATTAGGTCTCTGAATGGTTCAGGGCATCACCAAAATTACACAGTAGATTTGCAGCAGAGTCAGCACGACAGCCCTGTACCCTGACTCTCCTTCTTGGAACCTCTCATTGTGTCTGGGAAGACAAGCTGCACACTCAGCGTGAGGTAATAGAAAATAGACGTTGGTCTTTTTCTCTGGTTCTTGGTACAGAGCTCCTGAAACCCTTGTCACTCCCTGAGTGATAGGCATGTCTTCTGTTCTTATGAGGTAACTCTCGTTGAGTCATAGATGGCTCCTGGATGAGGGCTGGTCACTGGAAAGAGCAAGCCGTGATTAGGGTGCTGGGCATTTTCAGCCCCTCCCTTCATTCCTCTTAAGAAGGGCAAGGGGCTGAAAATGGAGTTAATGATCAGTCATGCCTGTGTGATGAAGCCTCCGTAAAAATGTGTGGGGTTCAGAGAGCTTCCAGGTTGGTGAACACATCCACATCCTGGGAGGGTGGCACTCCCAACTCTGTGGGGACGAAAACTCCTGTGCTTGGGACCCTCCCAGACCTCACCCTCTGTATCTCTTCATCTGGCTGTTCACTTTTATCATATCCTTTAATGAGCTGGTAAATGCAAGTAGGTGTTTCCCTGAGGTCTGTGAGTGGCTGTTAACAAATAATCAAATCCGGGTGCGTGGGTGGCTCAGTTGGTTAAGCGACTGCCTTCGGCTCAGGTCATGATCCTGGAGTCCCAGGATTGAGTCCCACATCGGGCTCCCTGCTCAGCAAGGAGTCTGCTTCTCCCTCTGACCCTCTTCTCTCTCGTGCTCTCTATCTCTCATTCTCTCTCTCTCAAATAAATAAATAAAATCTTTAAAAAAAAAAAAACAAATAATCAAATCCAAGGGGGAGGAAGTCATGGGAACCTCTGATTTGTAGCCAAGTCAGACAGAAGTTGTGGGTAACCTGGGGACCTATTACTTGTGACTGGCATCTGCAGTGGGGGGCAGTCTTGCGGGACTAAGCTCCTACCCTGGGGGATCTGACACTGTCTCCAAGCAGATAGTGTCAGAATTAAGTTAAATTGATTGTTGACACTAAATTGTCCCAGAGAATTGCTTGGTATGGGAAAACCCTCACGCATCTGGTTTCAGAAGTGTTTTAGTGTGGGAGAGATATGAGAGTGAAGGAGACACAGGAGGATGGGGAGGTTTTTTCTCTAAAACACCCAGGTAGCTCAGAGTCCTTCTTGACTCCTTGGAATTAGAACCAAGGTTCTAAATGGCCCCATTAAGTCCTACAGGGAACAACTAAAATATCTCCTCCCAATTGTGGCCCATCTACCTCTGAGCATAGCAGTACTCTCTGGGATTAGTAGCAAATGCCTTCAGTTTTGTAAAGTGTTGGGTGTTCGGTACTGGCTTTGAGGTGTGGACATTCAGAGAGGTGGAGAGGTATTTAGTTATAATGTCCAGTGTGTCCAGGAACACTCAAAAGGGTCATGTAGAGCAGTGTTAGCCAAATGCTGGGTCTTAGACAGGAGTTGGCTCTTGGTTGCTGGCTTAAGATGAAATGGAAAAGAGCAGAAAAGGTTATCAATTTTTACTAAGCTCAATTTAAGGCCCTGCCTTTTATTCTGAGATTATGTTTTTCCTACTTTTTTGGTGTTAAAATTGTTTTTCAAGAAATAGTAATGACAGTAGATGGCAGTTTATTTTATTATTTTTATTTTTTTTTAAAGATTTTATTTATTTGAGAGAGCGAGCGTGCACAAATGGGGGGAGGGGCAGAGGAGAGGCACAAGCAGACCCCCACCGAGCAAGGAGCCCAATACTGGGCTGGATCCCAGGACCCCAGGATCACGACCTGAGCCAAAGGCAGACACCCAACCAGAGCCACCCAGGCACCCCAATGGCAGTTTATTTGAATTTCCTGAATGGCACAGTCCAAAGATGGCCACCCTACATGAATGCCCAGAAGTGCTTCTGAAATATTACTGAATGAAGGAATCCCGAATCTGGTAACCACTCACCGTTTCAGAGGGCCATGTGACCCCAATTCCTCAGAGGTGTGGGAAGCCACAGAGAGTCTCACCTTGACAGCAGTGGTAAAACATCAAATAGTAGAAGACTTAAAATGCCTGAATTGGGGCTTTGCCACCCATAAATTCATACAGAAAGAAACATACTATTGCCACTTAGGTTTTATTTAACAAATTTATTTATATGGTGCTTACTAGATGCCTGCCCCTATCTCAAATGCTGTACAAATGTGATCTCTCATTTGATCCTCCTCAAGCCTATGAAGTAGACACTATTATTATCCTCACCTCCATTTTAAAGATGGGGAAACTAAGACATGAGGGCATTGAGAAACCTGTTCAGGGTCACAGCTAGTTAGCTGCAGAGCCAGATGTTGAAGCCAGAGATTCTGGCTCTGGAATCCATTTTCTTAATCCTTACAGCTCACTGCCTGGTTAGAAGCAATTTAAGACTTTTGTGGCATGTAATGATCTATTTTCAGCCTCTGATTCCATAGACAGAAGCTGCCTGTGGACTAAGCTGCCTGATCTGTACTGAGCTGCTGTCAATGATCTCTTCTGAGGCCTTTCCACAACACCACTGGGAGAATCAGAGTGGGCAGATGGCTCTTTGGCGGAGCCTGGCAAGACAACAGTGGCAAAATCAATGAACTTTGGTTAAGATCAGCAAGCCCTGGGGTGCCTGGGTGGCCCAGTCGTTGAGCGACTGCCTTCGGCTCAGGTCATGATCCCAGGGTCCTGGGATCGAGCCCCGCATTGGGCTCCCTGCTCAGCGGGAAGCCTGCTTCTCCCTCTCCCACTCCCCCTGCTTGTGTTCCCTCTCTCACTGTGTCTCTCTCTGTCAAATAAATAAATAAAATCTTTAAAAAAAAAAAAAAAAAGATCAGCAAGCCCTTGTAGCTTGGAACCTGAGTCCATGCAAAGGCCTTCTGAGAGGTCCTCCAGAGCCTAGACTGTTAGTTTTCAAACACACTTAAAAAAAAAAAAAAAAGGATTTATTTATTTATTTATTTGTGAGAGAGTGAGAAAGAGAGAGAGAGAAAGTGCACACACACCAGTTCAGGGAGGGGCAAAGGGATACTGAGAGAAGCAAACTCCTTGCTGAGCTGATGCGGGGCTCAATCTCATGACGCCAAGACCATGACCTGAGCCAAAATGAAGAGTCAGATGCTTAACCAACTGAGCCACCCACGCACCCCTCAAACACATTTTTTAAAAACAACCAAACCCTTTTTTCAAACATAGACATATGGGCAGTTAATACACACACACACCCTTATATGGAATCTTATTATTTTATTTATTTAAGATTTAATTAAATTAATTTATTTGACAGAGAGAGAGAGAGAGAGCACAAAGAAGGGGAGTGGCAGGAAGAGGGAGAGGGAGAAGCAGGCTCCCTGCTGAGCCGGATCAGGACCCTGGGATCATGACCTGAGCCAAAGGCAGACGCCCAACCAACTGAGCCACCCAGACGCCCCTATTTATTTATTTATATTTTTTGGAATCTCTTTTTAAAACAGATAAAAGTGGAGTTGTGTTGAAACAGCAGTAGGGATCCAGGGGACCTTATTCTTATCCTTTATGCAGTATTGAGTCGCTATCAGATAATGACTCATTTCTGGCCTTTGTACCTACTGGTCCCTCTTTCAGGAATCCTCCAACCATCCAGGCAAGCCCCTCTCTTTAGCTTAAGTCCTACTCATCCTTCAGGGCTTAGCTGAGATGTTCTTTCCTTAGAGAAATGTTCCCTGAGCCTCTCCCTAACCCCTATTTTGTTTTCCCTCATAGCATCTTTTACTTTCCCTGCATTTCACTTCCCTAAAATTGTAGTAAAATAATTGTTTATTTAAAGCTCATCTTCCCAAGCAGTTGGAAACCTCCAAGAGGGTAGAAACCCATGTCTCTATTGATGAGTGTTAGGCACAAGGTAGAAGCTCACTGCATATTTTTGAAGAAATGTTGGTGCTCCCGAGTCTTACGTGGATATCCTGTCTCTCAAGCCGCACTGGACATTTCTAGCTAGACTCAACCTTTTCTCATTGTCTCCTTGCATAGTGATTGTGCTGGCACTAAACACGGTAAGTGCTGACCCTACGCTCTTAGAGAAAGAAGGATGAAAAACAGAGGAGACATCTGAGATGGCTGATTGGATCTAAGACTGAACACTTCCTGGGAGAAAGATTTTTGGGCAGCAGAGGCTGTTTCTAGGCCCCAGGCCAGGGTGTTGAGCAATGTTTGCATTTCTCTGAGAGCTTCTGCCAAGGAGCAGAAAACTGATGAGTGACCTGTGAACGCTGCTTACATTCTGGGTGACTCACAGGTTATGGTATTCTGGGGGAAAATTGTGTTAATCAGAGGGGTAGGACAGCCATGTGGGTACTGGGCAGGAAGTTTGGTGAGAGGCCATCCAATGCCACAGTAGGATGGCCTCTCTTGCTAAGCACTCACTGCCCAGGCCTTTCAGCCAATGCCAAGTTGGAGACCCCAAGCAAGCCACTTAAGGCTCCTCATTGCTTCCTCAGGCTCCCCAGTCTTCTTTTAGAAAGTTCTTTCATAGTTGGTATGGCTTGTCTTTCTCCAGAAAGTCATAAAGCCAAATGTCTTGCCCTTTTCCTTTCTTTTGCAATTAAAACATTAATTTCTGGTTACAAAAACAATACATGAATACATTTATCTTCAGAAACAGTCAGACTAGGGGTGTCTGGGTGGCTCAGTCGGTTAAGCAGTTAAGCATCTGACTCTTTGATTTCGGCTCAGGTCATGATCTCAGGAGGGTCGTGAGATCAAGCCCCAGAGCCCTGCCTTGGGCTGGGGACTGGGCATGGAGCCCTGCTTAAGATTCTCTCCTTCCTTCTTCCTCTGCCTCCTGACCCTATCCCCACACATGCATGCTCTCTCTTTCTCTAAAAAAAAAAAAAAGAAAAAAAAAAAAAGAAAAAACCCACTAAGCTAAACTCCCTTTTAACCCCCAATCTTGGCCCTTTACCCCATCTTCAGAGATGGCTTTTTTTTTTTTTTGGATAACTTCTGATAAGAGTTTGGCATGTAGCCTTATAATGTTTTAAAAATCTTCTATAAACTTAATGTGAGATTATCTTAGTTTTGGCAGCTATAACAGTATACCAGAGACGTAGTAGCCTATAGGAAATTTCTCACAGTTCCAGAGGCTGGGAAGTCCAAGGACAAGGCACCAGCAGATTTGGTGAAGGCCTGTTTCCTGGTTCAGAGACAGCTGTCTTCTTGCAGTGCATCCTTAGAGGTGGAAAGGGTAGGAAGTTTTCTGGGGTCTCTTTTATAAGGGCACTCATTCCATTTATGAGGGCTCTACCCTCATGACCTAATTACCTTTTAAAGGCCCTACCTCCATACCACCACGCTGGGCATTAGGTTTCAACTTATGAATTTAGAATTTGTCTATAGCACTGTCGATAAGAAATAATGGTATTTATGTCTGTGTTTTAACATTTTATTTTGAAAATAATTTTATATATACAGAAGAGTTGCAAAGATAGTAACAGAAAGTTCCAGTATACCCTCACTCAGCCTCTCCTAATATTAATGGGTTTCATAACTCTGGTTCAATGATCAAGACTAAGAAATTAACACTGGTATAATGTACTGTTAATTAAACTATAAACTTTGTTAGAACTTTAAACGTTTTTCCACGAATGTGCTTTTACTGTTCCAGGATCCCATCCAGGATCCTCCATTACATTTAGTTTTCTAGTCTCTTTAGTCTCCTCCAATCTGTCGCTGTTCTCGGTCTTTCCTTGGCTTTCATGACCTTAACACTTTTTTTTTTAAAGCCTTCCAGTTCTTTTTTTTTTTAATAGTTTATTTATTTATTTTTAAGTAATCTCTACACCCAACACGGAACTCAAACTCATGACCCCAAGATCGAAAGTCACCTGCTCTCCCAACTGAGCCAGCCAGGCACCCCGACCGTAACACTTTTGAAGAGTCCAGGTCAGGTATTTTGTAGAATATCCCTTAATTGGGGTTTGTCTGATGATTTTTCATGGTTAGACCGAAGTTAAGCATTTTGAGGAAGATTTTTAAAAAAAAATCATATATATAATTTTCATATTATACTGCAACTTGCTTTTTACATTCAACTATATTATTTATTTACTTTTTTTAGAGAGGGAGCAAGTGAGGGAGGAGGGGCAGAGGGAGCAGGGAGAGAGAGAGGGAGAATCTTAAGCTGGCTCCACACCCAGCATGGAGCCTGAGGCAGGGCTCAATCTTAGGACCCTGAGTCGAAATCAAGAGTCAGACGCCTAACCGACTGAGCTACCCAGGCGCCCCTCAACTATATGATGTTGAGATAGATCTATATTAACATATAGATCAAGGTCACTTCTTTTAAATTCTCTACAGAATTGCATTATGAGTATTGTGCATTTTATTTAGCCATTCCCCTATTTGTGGGCACTTAGGCTGATTCCAAAGTTTATGAACAATATCATAGTAATTATCCTTGTACACACCTCCATATGTACATGGAGTATGGTAGATAACTAGACGTGGCATTGCTGAGACATGGATTTGATAAATATTGTCCTATTGCCCTCTAAAGTGGCTGTGCCAATTTATATTTTTTTGATATTATGATGATTGAAAATTGTTGCCAATCTCAGTTTTAATTTCCATTTCCCTGGTTACTACTGAGATTGCATTTTTTGTGTGTGTGTGCTTATTAGCAATTTGTATTTCCTTTTCTGGGAACTGCCAATTTATATTATTTGCCCATTTTTCTAGTAGATTTTTTTCTTATTGATTTGTTAAGAGTCTTTTGTATGGGGCGCCTGGGTGGCTCAGTTGGTTAAGTGACTGCCTTCGGCCCAGGTCATGGTCCTGGAGTCCCGGGATCGAGTCCCGCATTGGGCTCCCTGCTCGGCGGGGAGTCTGCTTCTCCCTCTGACCCTCTTCCCTCTCGTGCTCTCTATCTCTCATTCTCTCTCTCTCAAATAAATAAATAAAATTTAAAAAAAAAAAGAGTCTTTTGTATGTTCCAGATACAAATCTTTATTTTATGTATTACAAATGTTTTCTCTTAGTCTGTTATTTCTTAAGTTTGTTTCCCAATTTTTTAAAAAGGTTTTATTTGTTTATTTTCAACAGAGAGAGAGAGGGCACAAGCAGGGAGGAGGGTCAGAGGGCGAGAGAGAAACAGACTCCCTGGAGAGCAGGTAGCCCAACGTGGAGCTTGATTCTGGGACCCTGAGATCATGACCCCAGCCAAAGGCAGCTGCCTAATCTACTGAACCGCCCAGGCGCCCCTTGTTCCCCAACTTGTAAAATTATTACAGGTCCCTGATTTTTAAAAGTATTTTTTCTGATTTTTTTGGAAACAAAGTTCTTGATTATAGTAGTATAAACAATGTAGAAAATCTGGGAAATTTATGGAAAAGTATAAAGAAGAAAAGAAACTACCCTGAATCTTATCCCTGAGAAAAAAACACTACTAACATATTCAATTACATATTTCCTTTTAGTCTTTCATATGTGCATGCATTTTTTTTTTGCTCAATTGAGATTATATACATATATATTATTTGTTCAGTGGCCTGGTCTTTAGACACAAACCTGAACTATTTCCAAAAGTACTTGGTTGAAAGGCAGTATTAGATGAAATTCCAGTTCCTATTCCTTTTCCTCACATATCCTGAATAAGCTAGTAGGTGAGAGGTCCAAGGCCTGTCTTTGGCTGACCTGAACTGAAGTTGGCTCAAAAATCACGAGAGGTAGAAATGCTCCAGTAGAGCACTTAAATTAAGTCTTGGAGGTTTTGTTGATGGCAGGCTCAATGAGTCAATAGTATGGATGCCATGAACTTTATTGCCTGAATGGAAGTCCTACAAGGAGGAAGTTAGGGTAACTGCTTTGTTGTGATGGTACTACAAACATTTGTTTCTGTTTTGGGTGATATACTCTAAAGGAGCCACATTCAAACCTACTAGGTGCATGAGGAGAATGAGGACAAAGACCTTCCCTTCCCCAGTAATGGGAGACACTGGTCTCCAGTAACAGAAGACCTGGGGCAGAAATCTTCAAATATCTTTAAGTAGAAGGACAAAGAGAAATTAGACCTGTTTGTTCTCTGAGGCTCCCAAGGGATAGGACTTGGGCCAGAGGGGGGGTGTTTCAGAAACACTTTATAACCAGTGTAGAGCTGCTGAGAGCAAGGAATGCCTTGCTCTGGAAATGGTGGGCTTTCTGTCACTGAGGACTCTTTCGGCTTGTTGGTGGTAGGGGGTCGCTATAACTAACATTTATTGAGTGCCCTGTGCCAGGACTGTGCTGAGAACCTTCCCTCTATTATTTCATTCTGTGATACCCAATGAGGTAGGTACTATTGTTATCTGTTCCCTGTATTATAGATGAGGGAACTTGGTACAGTGAGGTCAGGTAACTTGCTCAAGGTCACACAATTTTTAAGTGGTGGAACTGCAATTCCAACCCGTTCTGACAAACTCCAAAGCTGGTGCTTTTAACCATCAGTGGGATTCAAGCGTGGTATGGGGGTCTGGACCAGAAGGGCTCTGGGGTCTCTTTGACCAGAAGATTCGGTGACTGGGAAAAAGGATGCCCCATCCCCCTAAGGAAAAGCATCGGTTTTTAGACCAAGGCAAGGTGGTCCGGGGGCCTTGCTGAGGGGCCAGGCACAAGGCCAAGGGATGGAGACCTAAAAGCCATGTAAGGGTTGTCAACGTGCCTTATAGAGCCTTACAGCTCGTCTACAACTGCTGTTGTTTTGTGGATCCCGAGAACCCGAGCTAGGGCACGAGGCGCACGACCGCATCGGGGCTCCTCTCAGGCTGTGCTGCTAGGGAGCGTCGCCGCGGCCAGGTTCTGCGGCGGAGCTGGAGAAAGAACAGCACGCCGGTCCCTGGCCGGGCGCGAGCCGGGGGCGGTGCCGGGGCGGCGGGGGCGGGGAAGGAGCGCGCCGAGGCGGCTGCGGCAGTTGCGCGCTGGGATTGCTGCCGTGCGGCCGGCTGGTGAGTGCGTCGGGAGTCGCGGGAGTCGCGGGAGGGTGGGGAGGGAGCGGGCGAGGGAGAGAGCAAGCAAGCAAGCGCGGGAGGGTGCGCGGCGGAGCGCACGACTTGGGACCGGGGTTCGCCGCCAGCCCCTGTCCCGGCCCCACTAGGGCCGCTGCGCCCCTCCGGCCCCCCTCCTCCATCCCAGCACCCGCCTGCGCGCCCGCGGAGTCGGCGCCCACGGACTAGGCGCCCGCGGACCCACACGGCGCACCCCCACATCCCCAGCTGGGCCCCGCCGGCCCCCGTCTCAGAGC